TTTTAAAAATAAAAAAAATAAAAAAAAAAAGAAAATTTGGCTTGGTTTTAACTGAAAACAACCAAAATGATTTTTTTTACGTTTTCCGTTTTCTTTGTAAATTTTAAACTCGTTGTTGGAAATTCATTTATGAAAATAGGTAAGTAAACGTGTTTTTAATGTTTTCGAAAACTGAAAATGACTTGAAAACAACAAAGAGAACGGAATATTAGTTATACATTAAAAACACAATATCTAGATTTGACTAAATTAATTACGTTTGCATTACAATCAAACTGAACTATTCACATAAATGAAATGTGGAATTAACCATGAAGTGTGATTAATTTTAATCTTGTAAAATAGACCCAATAGCTAAGATCTCAAAATCCTTCTTAAATCGTCAAGCTTCAAACTCCAAGTCTTCTTTAGTATATTCTATTAATCCAGATCGTCAATAACAAAAGAAGTATTAAAGTGAAGAATAAAATCAATCCATTAAAAACTAACCAGGATCGATACATCAAAAGACATTAGATGGCGAGCTATATTTTTCTCTTCACAAGGAGTGAAATACGAAGAACCACTCATAATTGTACAAATGTCTGGGAAAACTCAATCTTGCTACATTGCTAACTGTACACTCGTGCTACAACTTCATCTGTCAACCAAGATGTTTAATTCATCTGGCAAAACAACATTAAGACACATTAGCCTAAGAGAATATGATGTAATAGAAATGTCAAATTGACATAATATTGTAATCCAATAACTGTCCTTATATGGCATGGGCTATCTAGGTTATCCTTTCGGTCGTAGTTCTGACAGAAATAATGAAAATCATGTATGTATGTATTGTGGATTATTTCAGTGGTCCACTTATAAGTTCTCATGTATTTTTGTTCATTCTTCTTGTATTTATCATGTCTCTCTATTATATGCTTTTTACTTGGTTTTCATAATTTTTTGGGATAATTACAGCAGCGGTATTAAATTTTTCATTTAGCAGCATACTTTGTCCAAATTTTTTATTTGTGTCATTCACGGTACCGAACATTTCAAAAATTAGCACATGAGGTCCAAATAGATGATTTCTATTAGTTGGATCATTAATTGATAGATAATTGACATTGACAATAATTTTGACTAATTTTAAAAAGTTAAAATTGCAACTTATAATAAAATAACTAAAATCAAATCATTAAAATTAAAAATCAAAAACCAATTTATTCTTCTCCATTCAGCCCCCAACCCCAAAACCATCACCACTACTATTGAACGGCTCAACCACACCCACCCAATGTCGACGCCATTGCCATCTCCTCCACCTCCATTTCCACTAGGGCTGTTCGTGGGTCAGTTCGATTCGGTTCTGAAGAGAACCGAGCCGACCCAAAACTTTCGGATATTTAATAAATGGAATCGTCAGGTCGAAATATAATTATGGAACTGTTCGGATTCTATTTGAATCGGTTCCGTTCGATTCTGTACCATAATTAAATTTTTTAATATTTTCAGCAACACTACATAAATACAACTAATGACATTTCATTCGTACCTTTTACAAATTAACGTAGCCCAATTCAAAAACATATAAATAACTAGCCGTCCAATA